CCCTCCTCACCCCCTCCCTCCCCCCCAGGGTCCAACAGTGTGTTCGGAATGAAAGAGGGTCCGGGGGGGCTCCCCACATTTGGCAGCCCCCACCACGACGCCTGGAACAGACTACGACGAACGCCGCCTTCTTTCCCCATCCCGCCGCAGTGGCCCAAAACCACGGAGGCCGAGAGAAGCAGTTCGGCCAACAGCCAGGAGAGGGAGCCACAGAGGGATCAGGACCGAGAGATAGAAAAAAGGGAGTCGTCCTTAGGGGGTGAGGAGAAGGACAAGGACAGGTGAGTTTGTGGATTTTTTTTTAAGTCAGACTTGAACATCTGTGGACATGTGTGTCTAACGTCTGGTCAGTGGACTCAGAATGGTACACGGATGGTAAAGTTAGATTAGATTAGGATTAATTAGATAGAATCAGTATATTTGTTATGAAATGTATTTAAAGGTACATGCTAATACTGGTACATGCTAATACTGGAACAGGCTAATACTGGAACATGCTGATAGTGGTACATGCTAAAACTGGAACATGCTAATACTGAAACATGCTAATACTGGTACATGCTTAACATGCTAATACTGACATGCTAATACTGGAACATGCTAATACTGAAACATGCTAATACTGGTACATGCTAATACTGGAACATGCTAATAGTGGTACGTACTAATACTGGTACATGCCTGGTACATGCTAATACTGGTACTCTGGTACGTGCTAATACTGGTACATGGTAATACTGGTATGTGCTAATACTGGAACATGCTAATACTGGTACATGCTAATACTGGCACATGCTAATACTGAAACATGCTAATACTGGTACATGCTAATACTGGTATGTGCTACTACTGGTACATGCTAATACTGGTACGTGCTAATACTGGTACATGCTAATACTGGTAGCACAGTAACAGGTAAGTTTGTGGATTTTCAAAGTCAGACTTAAACATCTGTGGACATGTGTGTCCAACGTCTGGTCAGTGTGCTCAGAATGGTACACGGATGGTAAAGTTAGATTAGATTAGTATATTTGTATATATTTGTATGTATCAGTATATTTGTTATGAAATATATTTAAAGGTCCCACCACCGTCTCTGATCTTTCTGTTCTCATCACCGCAGGGATTCTTCTGAGAGGAACCGTCACTCCAACCGCTCATCCCCGGCCGCCGCGCCTGTGGGCTACCACATCAGTAACCTGATCCGTTCAAACAGCCAGAGCTCCGGGGACCTGAGTCGGCATCCCAGTGGGAATGTGGAGCGGGTTCGAGAGGCGGAGAAGGAGCTGCTGGACCCCCACAGGGACTCCTCCACGCTGGCTGACGTCAAGGTGAAGGAGTCCCGCCCCCCGGGTCACGACGTGATGGAGAGGAGATCCTCGGAGGACTCAGTCAAATCCTCCCAGCGCTCCCCGTCACCCTACCTCAAGGCGATGATCAGTGACCAGAGCGTTAAGATGGCGGGTGGCCCTCAGACCCCCCTCAAGGAGATCGAGAAGGAGCACCCACCTGTAGAACTCCTGCACAAGGTGAAAAACGACATGAAGATCAAGGAGGAGAGGAAGGAGGAGCAGGAGGTGATGGTGGTGAGCTCTGAGCCCTCCCCCCAACCACCGGCCCCGGCCCTCCCTGCTTCTGTGGGCCAACTTATCAACCCCCACCACCACCACCCACCGCTGCCCCAACAGCACCCGCTCTCCTTACAGAGAGGAGGTGAAATCCCAGCTTCCAGTCTCCACGTCCTCCCCATGGCCCACTCCCTGCCGCTCTCCATGAGCGGCATGCCCCACATGGGCAGCCTGAACGTCCTGGACCGGGCGCGGATGGCTCCCTTCATGGGGGTGAGTCCTCTGGCGGGGAGGGAGCGCTTCACCCACCCGGCGTTCGCGTGGGACCCGTTCAAGGAGGCCTACCGCAGCCTGGACCTGCAGAGGAGGATGGACCTCCAGCTGAGGGCGGAGCAGGGACACCGCTACGCCAGTGCCTACGAGCAGGAGCGCGCGCAC